ACGAAACCTCCTTCCGAAGAAGAGAAGCCTCATCGACCGACGCCGAAAGGGAAGACAAGGCCGCAGCGACCTTGCCCGCCGAAAGGGAAGAACCTCGCTTAGACATCGAAGCGACCGACCGAAGCGAACGAACGACGGAAACGAAGAACCTAAAGGCAACAAACGTAAGGACAAGGCCTTACGAGGTTAATAAATGTAAGCGAAGGTAAAGATTCCTTTGCGAACAAGGCCTGAAGTTATCGTGAGATAAAGTCAGGGACGACGTGGAGGTTAGGTGGATCCTTGGAACGTAAGAAAGGGTGTCCGAAGGAGATTACCAGATTGCGTAAAGAACATAAAGTCTAAGGGGGTACACCCCCCTATATAGATAGGAAATCCTCCATGATCACTAATACAAAAAGAAAGTCCTTAGCGTCGCGCGCAGCCGCGATCCTTCCATCATGTTCCGCCAGGTTCCGTCGCGCGGCAACCTATCCCAATCATAATACAAAGGAAATCCTACAATGCAACCAACGAAACCACAGCCGATATATGCAACCAAAAGTCCAATGTTCCTCCACGTCCAGTACACCGGGTGGCCGTGACATACTGTAGGCCTGACAGAGGGGCTGTACATCCGCAGACCCCTGTAGAAGCACTTGCGAGATTTCCCATTCTATTATTTCATTTCTTGTGATGACGCTGAACAGTTTTCTTCCCTCTCCTGCCTTCCCAGTAGAGGACGATCATTCCTGTATGGCGTGGGATGTGCGGTTAGGCCTATACCAGACTATCATGGGGAGGTTGTTTTGGTTCCTGCGGCATGGGGAAATGTATTTGGAATTAAGGTTTTGTTTTTGCCATGGCTAATACTCCATGCACATTATTGTACCTTAATAAAGAATATATGAGATAAACAAAACAAAAGAAAAACTCCTAGCTTTAAGTTTTATCCTGTGTCTCTGCTACACCTCGGGCAATTGAAAACTCAACACCATAGTTACTATTATGGCTTTTATTGTCTAGTACCACCAACCCCCCCCATCATCCTCCATCTAGCCTTGGCTATAGGAGGTGGGCTCACTTCCCCTCTCCCTTGAGGTCTTGATTTATTTCTTGATTCTCTCAGTTCCATCCCTGGTTGGGGTTTTTCATCCTCCTGACATTTCTCCTCTTCCTCTCCCGCCTCACTTAGGCGTTGGCATGGTTCGCAACCCCTTTACCACAACTAGTAGATGGCTGGGACTATGGTTTACAGTAGGATTGAATATCCTTCATGCTTTGGTCGATCTCTCCATTCTCTTACTCCTTAAAGAGGTTGCCTAGTCAGACATGAACGCAATAACTTATAGCAGTTGGCTACAGTCTTGGGTCTACCCCTCCTCTTCTCTTTAGGGCCTTTTTTGGCTGGCATGTGGTAGGATCTCTTCTACTAGAGTGACACTATCTCTCCCAAAACAAGGAACTGTGTGAGAGACACAGTAAAACACCAGCTTCACTCCGAGCTCTCCTCTATACTTGGATTGGCTGGCACCCTACTGCCACCTCCTCTCAAACTGGCATCTTACTGCCTTAATCGTTGATTGTCTTAGAGAACATACTGTGGCTGGCCTACCTGTGACCCACCTCCTCTTCTTGGTTCCTAGTTGCCACCATTAGGGTGGTTGCCCTTATACCCTTTGTGTCTAAGGCTTCAGATGCCTCCTCCTGGTCCTCGTCATATGGCCTAGCGGTCCCTATCAACTGGATCTGAGTCGTCATAGTTGACCCTTCAGGGTTCAGTATAGGTTTCTGCCTTTGCGTATTTTGTTCTAGGAGTTGGGCATGTTCCTGCTTCACTGTTGGGGTGTTAGCTTTCTTTTGTCCCTGGGTAGTAGGGGTTATTAGGTGGAGTAGTTGACAGAAGGGATTACAGGTGGGAGTAGTTGTTTCTATCCCTGAGGGTTTTTTTAGCTCTGTCATCCAGCCCAGGCTGAGGGGGAAACCAGTTTTTAGGTATCATAGCCCATGCTTGATATGCCTTTTTGTCCCATCAATAAAATAATAAAATCAGTTAAACCAAAAAAAAAAAGAATCTCTAGCTTTAAGTTTATTATTAGCCACTAAAGAAGAGATCTTATTAATATATTTGTTCTACTTTACCCTACTTTGCTTCTATCTTTATGACCCTTCTTGACTATCTCGGAGACAGAAGAATACCCTGCCTAGTATATACTGACTTGACCTTACAGTTACCTACCCCCTAACACCTCCTATTGACCATCCCTGCTATACTGTCTGGCTTCTCCTACTTATCCAATTCCTACTCGCGTACATGTACTTAGCAGAAGGAATGGCCTACTACCCTCTGGAACTTCCTTCCTATAGATTGTTAAAGCTTACCGCCAACTTTCTCCTTGTATCAGATTCAGTCCTGCTGGTTCCTACTCCTCCTAGCTATTAGTACACCACTACTAACATTCCACACTGATTTCTGGACCATCCCATGGTTTTGGCTGGATGCATTCATCAGATTAGTTCCTACAAATCCTACCTGGCTACTCCAACTTCTTGGGTTTTATATAATGAGTCTTACATTTGTCTTAACAGTAAGGATGGGCAGAAAGCATTCAATCCTACTATTGTATGATATATTGCCAAGGCCTCCCAGCATACTACCCACCTCCAGCGTATCACTGACCTGGGGCCTGGCTCCCCTTTCTGGTCAGACCCCTCACTTATTTGGAGCCTAGTCTATTACATTTTAGTAACAGAAACCAGGTTTCCAACTTCTATGCCTGCAATCAGCACCAGTTCTGTGTCAACACCACTGGTATCCATAACCTCCTCCGCTGGGTGCTCTTCAAATATCCTCTACTCCGGTTAGCAGGACAGGGTTCTTCACTTTTCTTTTCTGATAGTTGTTGTTAGCAAATGGTTGACAGCTTTACTTTTCACATATCCTTTCTTCAACTAGGCTCAGGATATTGGCCACTGTTGGATTTGCTTTACTTTTTATGTCAGTAATTGTTAGCAATGCAAGAGAATTTGTTTTTTTCAATGTGGTAGGGTGGGAGCTATGTATAATAGTATTTTCCTTCTTACTATATTGCCAGTAGAATTAAGGCATTTTATATGCTATAGCGTGAGTTGCATATATGTTTTTAGGCCAGAATCAATAAACACATAATTAAAACTAAAATTAAAATTAAAATTAATATCTACACAGCTACGACCTAGTATGAAGTAGTTTAGATACTGGTAAGATTCTAGATACATGCTAACTTTGGCACCAGGTTCTACAGGCATCCACTAGCTGCAGCAGCCAATATTCAATATTGTTAATCTGTTAAATAATAGCTTTTTAACAATATAAAGTATGTTGACCCCCTGCCCTTATCCATAGATACATAGTCTGATATGAGAGTGGTCTTGACCCTAAAAAAGTGCTGACTTTGACATTAGATTCCTGACGTGTTCTATCAGTATAATAGCCTATACTCCATACTATAGAAGATCTTAACACCTGTTTTCTAATGGTACAGAGAATTTCTACCCAGTACTAATAATTATAAAGTTATAGCCTATTATAGATTGAGTATTTATACTAGTAGCCAGTAAGAACTATAGTACAATGCAGAAATGTCTAAGTATAAACCTCATTCAGGAGTATGTTCAAGGTAGTCTACCTAACCTTATACTATTTCAAATCATGTAACAATATCATACTCATACAGGTAAAAAGGCTCTGCATAAAAGTACTATGTTTTAAATTAGTAGAGACAACTCAAGAGAATGGCATACTTGATTGAAATGCTGAAGAATTGGTATAAGATTGAGGACTCAGCATTAGAATCCAATATGAAAAAGCTGAATAACCTTATACTATAGAGATAGATGGACTTGTTAAAAATTAACAAACCCATACAGATATATGAAAGACATTCTGAATGATGTAAGCATATTGGAAAGTTATTACTTATAGTATATTAGACCTCAAGGATAAAGTTCAAAAAATATCAACGCTATCAGTAAGATTATAAAACTTTCAATCTATTATATTCACTTATTATACTTGAATATCTTTTACCTCTTATTAGATATTATTTACTTCAGTTTATAATCTTATTACTTCTGGTCTTGGCAATTATGTTGCACAGCCACAGTTGCATTATTGCTGTGCCACATGGTTCATGTTCTTCAGTTGTTGCGCCAGAGTTCAGGATTGAAGGATCGAGTAAGATCTGGTGGAAGCGAGTGTACCAGAGGGGAACGGTGGTGGGGCGAGGCGTTCGATGTGACAACGGGCGACACGGAGTTGGTTCGCTATGTCGGCGCGGAATGTTTGGCTCCTAGACAACTTTTTCCGTTTAGCATCTTCCGGAGGTCATAAGCCCTGACACCTCTTTGACGACAAAATAGTCCCAAGTTGACCTTCAATTTGTCGGAACACCCGACCGACTTACACTGCCTACCCTGCACCGCATTCCGTCTTCTCCCGCCGAGCCCCCGCGGTACCCGACACCCTCTATCCAACCCCCGAACCTACAAGTAAGGAAAAACGTGAATTTCGCGACAGCCCCAGATAGCAGCATACATCAGTCAGGGGCTACGGGAGGACATTCGGGTTTTCGTGGGACTAACCGTTCGCCCCTCCGGTCCTATGGCCTTTTCAACCTGAACATGAACTCTCTCAGCATACTCTCGTCTCGAGTTGACAACGTTATTGGCGCAACGACTCCGCCAGCTACTGAACGTGCAGATCCCTTTAAACCCCTGCGGCGCGGGCAGCAGTCTAGCCCTTTGAGGTCTTTTGAAGATCGGGGGTATGAGTCGAGGAGGGGTTGCGCTCAAAGCGTTTACTATGATGACGATAGTGACGGCGACGAGGAAGAAGTGGAGGAGGACGAGCCGGAGGACTACGAGGAAGACGAGCACGATGATTTATTACTTGACAAGGGCCAACGATCTGTAGGATACGGGGTGTGGCTATTGGGGCCATGGCTAGGGGCGTTCCGGTGGGGTTTCTCAACAGTGGCTGCTTCCGGAGGCTGGCTAGTATCCTTCCTGTATGATGACGGTGGTGCTTTCTCGCCGCTCCTGCCCATTAAACGTTTCACCGCATTATTATTAGGGCCATTTGGTGTGTTTCAGGGTCAGGTTACCGGATACGCTGGCTATGAGAAAAGCGGCGCAGCAATAATGAGCGACCCGAAATTATTTCACCAGTACGGAAGCGATCCGGGAATTGACCTAACATCACGGGCGCACCACCTTCACACTAGACCCTTTAATCGTGATAGTTCCTTCTTGACTGACGAGATAGTCCCCCGGAGATCAATTCGTATACGACTTTACAACCAAGAACCCGCACCAAATACAAAACCATGTGTGAAGTCACCTACATCTCCATCATCAAGTCTGCGTCTCACCAAGTATCCGCGCAACTCGGGGCCTCCCAAACCACTTCTACCTTCCCACCATTCTCCAAAGACCCTAATCCTGGATCTTGACGAGACATTAATCCACTCTCTCGCTAAGGGGGGAAGGATGACCTCCGGTCACATGGTAGAGGTCAAGCTCGACCGTCAACATGCCATCCTATATTACGTTCACAAGCGCCCTTACTGCGATGAGTTTCTTCGAATGGTATGTCTTCCAAGTATTTTTCAGTAGGCGCGGGCTGGGTCTGACAACGTGGGCGTGTAATGATTCAGGTCTGTAAATGGTACAACCTTGTGATTTTCACAGCATCTGTGCAAGAATATGCCGATCCAGTGATAGATTGGTTAGAGCAGAATCGAAAGTATTTCAAAGGCCGTTTTTATCGTCAGCACTGCACACAGCGTGGCGGTGCTTATATCAAGGATATCAGCGCTGTGGAGCCAGACCTGTCTAAAGTTATGATAATTGACAATTCACCCATGAGTTATATTTTCCATGAAGGTTGGTTTGCCCAGATCAAGTAACTATTGTGTAGCGGTGCAGGAGCCGCTATTGGGGCCATTGTTGGATGCATCCAGGATCGTGTTAATGCTCGATATATAGATAATGCAATCCCGATTGAAGGCTGGATTAATGACCCTACCGATATCGATCTTTTGCATCTGATACCACTACTTCAAGCATTACAATATGTCACTGATGTCAGGGCCCTCTTAGCACTACGAATGGGCGAGATGGGTTGATTTACCGAGCGTTTTTATATATATTATATTGAGGGCGTTAATATCTTGCTTCCTGGGGGCTGCTGAACCAAAGTCGCAAAGCATTGGTATGGGCTAATGCTAGCACAAGTAATCTGCTTCCTTTTCTTATTATTTTTTCATTACCTTGTTTCTTTCCTCAATTCTTCGGATATCCCACTGGTCGCAATTGTTCATATTTACATTCATAGAGGATATAATCTTTGTCTTTCAGTTTCGTTCGGTCATGGGGGTAAACGGTCAATGTGGGGATATAGTTTTTCGGGATGAGTGTATTGCATTGTTTCCATAATTATCCTCCTCGGTACTTTAGTATTGGTGGATGACTGCGGGAGAAATAAAGTACGAGTTGGGTGGGTGGGTGGAGTGGTTTGTATATTATAGTATGGGCGATAGAATGGCTGAATCCGAGGTCAGTAGTGTTGTCAGGCAGGTTTGTAGAGGTGTGGAGCAAGAGCGGCTTCGCCGTGCGCTACTGGCGTAATTTTAGGCAAGGTGTGGCTTGCGTTTGTTAGCAACAGGTCTTTGATTATTGTTCGTGTTCGAGGCATAGGCCTTTAAAGCCTCGAAGAGCAGGCAGAGTATTCTACTATGTAATAAATAAGTGTTGAAATTGTTAATTCAATGCGACGGAGGGAACCGGACAGTCGAGTTACCTACTGATCAGTCTGGGTACTACTGACATGTCCGGAAAGTCCGTGTACTCCTGCATACCAATGGATACTACTTAGTACTCCAACCTTGAACTTTTTCTAGCAAATCAAGCGGTAGGTAAATAAAGTAATAAAACTTACGTTTACATTATAGATTAGCGTGAGTAGTGATACAGTACTAGGACAATGCCCTTTTTACACCAAAAGTCACCATCTTTACTATCATCTCTTCTTGTACAATGTTTATGAGAATCAGTGGAAATTTGTCCATGCATTAATAAGCCGATAGATAATATGAAAAACATTACAGAAGCTCTAAATATTATGAAGTGATGGAGAAAAGCATATTTAAGTATCTGGTATCAATGGCTATTTACTTTGTTCTATAGAGTCCATGTAAAAATTAGGGTCACTTTGACATTACTTGATGCAATGATGAACAATGAAGATAGTTTTGGTCCCTTGTACTTGTGCATGTAGAAATGGATATAGACAGTCATTCTCTAGCTTGTAAAATGATTTCATGTATTATCATATATGTAGTATTAAGAATTGTCCCTAGGAAAATGTCTCTTTTTGTTATATAAAGAGTATTAGATAAAAAGTGCTTTTTGTTTCTATTTTTGTTTTTACTTTTTTTTATAATATGTTTATTGATTCTGGTCTAAAAATGTATATACAGCTTATACTATAGTATACAAAAAGCCTTAATTCCAATAAAGTAACAAGGAAAATATCCTGGTAACAAAGCAAAAATCTCCTGTGTGAGAAAAGCAAACTCCTCCACATTGCTAACAAATTACTAGCACAAGCGACCAAAGAAAAACCCCTCCACCATGTGTGAAGCACAACTGAGAAAAGTATCAAGTAAGAAAACTACCTACAGGGCCATCCACTGGAGTGAGTACTTTGTAAAACCTAGTACCAAGACCAGCTAGTGAAAGAAATAGATACTGTTCACCAACATGCAGCAGGGAGGATTTGGAGGCAACCTCCTTCTAGAGCCCAGGAGTCCTTCTGGGAGGGACAACGTAGTTACTCTAATGGCCAGTATGAAAGGCTGGAAGTGTTAAGAATCCTACCAGGTGCAGGGGAGGTGCAACAGGTAACGATCATTACTTAGTAGTAAAGTAATAGTGTTCAGGCCATTGCCTATGCAATACTCGATAGTCAAGTCCTTTGACTCCTATCTTATCAACCCTATTACTTTAACTTTCTTTAAGTCCTTGTTCAGGACTTCATGGTTTGGTGTGGGAGGAAAGATAATTGTTGGATTTCTTAAGATACATTTGAGTGTGGTTTTGTTGAAACCTACACATAGGCTTTGTTGATTGTTACCAGGAAAACAGGTTTGAAGGGTGGCAACCAGAGAAAATGAATCTTGAGATAAACACTGTTTTCTTTTTCTCTACAGTAGAATAACTTCTCTTCTGTAATAAAAAAGTTTAAAAATAAAGTAATTCTATTAAAATTTTATTTACTATGTAAAGTATATATCTGTGCTTTAAAATATACAAAAATATATTATTCATGTAGTTTTCCTACCATGTTTATTCTTAGATCCTAGAGGCCTTCCATGTTTTTTTGTTTTTGGCAATCCCTCCTTAAGCAGTAGAGCTTTCCTTAGCTGCTTAACCATCTGGCCCAATTGTAACTGTTCCTCCAAACTTGTAGTATGAATTATTTTCATGTGGATTTATGATGTCCCACATGCAATATAATTCAACAAAAAAAACTATCTTTACTTTAACTATTTATAACATCACACCTCTGTAACCTAGTGATTTCAAACCAGGTTCTACAGATAGCCAGAAAGCTCTAGTATTTTTCTATGAAAAAAAATTATTTTCAAAATATTTTATATTTTTGTACATAAAACAGGCTAGAGAGGTCATTAGCAGCTCAAAAATATTTTCTGAGCTATTAGGACTATGCTCTAGAGGGCTACCTATATGGCCATGCTAAAATAAATGTTTTGATGTTGAAGGCCAATGTGTAGGTTTCTAAAAAACCACACTCATTTTAAGGAGCATAAAGGTGGGTTTTATTTGTAAAAATATAAGTGTAGGAAATAAACTACAAAAAACGTGTGAAGAGCTCATACTTGGGGCCCTAGTGACCCTTTATACAGTTGCTCTTCACCTTATGTGACTCATGCCTTGTGTCATATGAAACATTGTCACTTATAACTATGAGTCATATGATATATATCCGCTAATACATAGAGTTCGTTACGGGGCCTCCAGGGCCCCGATAACTGCAGGTCCCTGCCCTGGTTCCCCACCGTGCCGCGACGTTTGACCTGGGGCAGGGCCTATTTTCTCCTCCCTTCCCCCACTGGCCCAATATGGCCCCCTTCCCTGGCCACCCCCTGTACAAGACCCCGCTACTGCTCCTACCAAATTATATAGCTGGGAGCACAATTGGGGTCACCCGGTAGACCCCATGTGGGGGGCGAGGCAGGGAGTAGGGAGTTTGGCGGTGCCCTGTGGCGGTAATAGGGCAGGGAGAACTTGCGGAAACCCGCCCCGCCCCACCCCGTAATGAACACTACTGACTCCTATGAGCCGCCAGCCGCAACATACCTTAAATCAATCAAAACTTGATAATCCAGTCAGGTGTACAACCTGCATCGCCTGAGCAAACCCCATGACTCATAGCTTGAGTCATGTGCGAAAATTGTAACATTGTGTGACTCAAAACTGTAAGTCATGAAGAGGTAAATATAATAACCTATGGTGCACTAGTGTACTAGTATATCATGTAAAATCCCCACATACCTATAACTTAGAATCCCAAGCTACATAAAATCTGCCTTGCTTAGTTACAGTTTGTAATATTAGCTCCCCTCTCCCTCAGCCTGAGTCTCATCAGGCTTACATCAGTCTTTCTTCCAAGCCCCATGCCCTCTTGGCTGAGAGTCTCCACTTCTTTTCCTTTGCTAGCCATGCATTGACCTTCTCTACTCTTGCTAAGGTCTTGCAGGCTTCCTTCTCCTCCTTTCTCTAATTATTTTAGAGAGCTTTCCTCATCCTCTGTTCCTCTTCTAGCTCCTGCATAAGCTCCTCTATCCTCTCCACCTGGTATTCCATCAATTCGTTTATTTCGGCTGTTTCGGCCAACCGGTTCATCATCATGTCCCTTGGTTCTTTTAAGGTTATAGGTTTCTTCATATCATCTTCCTAGGAGACATGTCTCTTTCTCCTAAGTTCTGCCTACTTCTGTTTTTTTGCCCCCCCACTCCTCGACTCCATCCTCGGGGTCAGGGTGATGTATTCCACGAGAGCTACCAGTTCTGGTATCCGGGATCTCTGGGGTAGTCCCAGAGGTAACGTCTTCAGTGGCCATTAGTTTGCTTCCCGAGCCCAGTAGCCTGTTCCTTCTATTTCGCTGATGTGCACTTGGCACTGGTCGTCATAACATCCTGTCCATGACAGGGCTCGATTCTCTCTTTCTGGAGTGGGGTTTCTCTTGATTCGTAAATCTATCAGATTTGTCAAATCTTTGGGGTTGTACTCAAACTTGAGCTACCTACTCACTTCTTCTCGCGGAGTCAGGGTACAATACCCTGGGCTCATCAGCATAATATATCTGAATGTGTCTTATTCAGGACAGGAGTGTAGGCCAATCAGTATCTGTTGCTATTGGTAGGAGTTGGTTTGCTGCAGTGTGGCTGGTGCTGCATGATTGTACAGCCACTCATCAGAAGTGTTCGTGAAAGATGCTGTATTAGTAAGCTGCCTCGCCAAAATCACAGTTCAACAACTACCTACCTACAACAAGGTAGTTAAGCTACCTACCTATAACAATGAGGATATCCACCAGTGATAGTGAAGATCCTGCAACTGTAAAGTTATTTCTGTAGAGATCTGTGCTGCTCTCATTTTTTAAACTTTTTTTTAACTATAATTAGTTGAACATAAAATATAAAGCCCTTGATATTCAAATAAACTAAAAGAAGACTAAACCCATTATGATGAGATAATTAATACTAAGAAGTTATACAAATTATTAGCTAGCATGTCTACTTCTACTATTTAAATAATTGTTGTAGTTATAATCTATGCTATTTAATTATGTTACTTATTACTGTAATGCACAATAAATCAATCCACCATTACCTCATAGTCAAATCTTCCCAATTATACAATTGCAATTAGACAGGTCTCAGAGTACAAACACTTCTGATTAGTGGCTGTAGGATATCTTACATTACCAAGTATTATTAGTTTAATTATTTTTTAAGCTTAACCAATTTGTATTTAATAGGATCCAAATTAGGGTAATAAGAGAAGTGTATTTCAAAATGAATGCACTGACAGAGTCATC